CAGAACATAGGCCTGACTGGAATGAAATTGGAGAATCCAGCAGACCCCCAGATGATGATCAATCCATTCCAGCTTGATCCAGCAACAGCAGCAGCTTTGGCACCAGGACTTGGTCAGTATCTGTTCATTTTTCACTGTTGTTTTTGTGTATTATCAATGTAATACTTGCAGCTTTTAACATTAATCTAGAATAGTCAATTGAATTTTGTAGAAAATACTTAGAACACTGTTGTCAACTTTGAAAGGAAAAGTAGCTACGCTGGTGACTTAATGAAATCCAAATACTTCATCCATTTGTCCTTTCTTAAATTCTTCTCTGTTAACAATTTTTTAGTCTTCTTTTCTGTGTGAGTCTTGAAAGAAGCATTTTATAACATGTATCATGCTCACATAGAAAACAATTTAGGTTAATACAGAATTTAAAAGAATAACAATACCTTTTTTTGCCATTTTCCTGTTCTTGCGTACACTGTAAATAAATGTCTGCATAAAGCAGTATAGCTTTTTATTTGTAGCAATTTCTTTTTGATTAGTGCTTTTAGTTTACTCTAGCCTTATAGCTGATTCTGTATTAATTTAAGTATTAGAGATCAAATATCTAAACTATATTAATATTCATAATAAAGTATTAATAATAAAATGTGGTATTTATAACAGTTTTTGAGAATTAAATGTCTCTGAGCAATCCTATAAAGTAGGCAGATAGGGGGCTGAGATTTTGGGATAATGGCTTGATTTAAGCCATTGATTCAAGTCAACAAAGAAATTAATTAATTTTTATAGCCGTGTGTATTACATTTGCACTTATGAGCAATTTATGATGACATAAAGTCTCAGGATGGAGAGAAAAAACAAGTAACTGTTTTTCAACAACTGTTTTGTGTAACCAAACTATATTTGAAATCAGTCAAATGCAAATTGCTAGAACTTTATGAATTGCCATTCTTCGGTTCTCATATGTGCATGTATGTGGGTCATATATATGAGAGCTGTAATTAGAGTATTTAAAGGATATAATGAAACTACAATTAGTGTGGTGTAAGTTAATCTCAGCTTTTAAGTTGCAAAAGCCTTACTGTTTTGTTATTTTATTGATCAAATCTCATGTCTTTGAAAATAAAAATTCCACAATGACATCATGCCCAGTAGGAGTAATTAAAGCTATCTGATGAGGGAATTCAGAAGTTGAAAGGGATGATTGTAATTGATCCTGATTCAATCCTATTACAGCTTTTTATAGTTTAAGCTCTAGAGAAAGCAAGTCCCTTGTCAAGGCTTTATTTTATAGATTCGTGTGTGTGTGCGCGCGCGCACACTCTCTCTATATTTTCTGGTCTTTACATTCCCTTTTAATTCTTTTCCCCGTAGTAAATAATGAGCTGCCACCTGAAATCCGGCTTGCCAGTGGTCAGCTAATGGGTGATGACCTGTCCCTCCTTACTGCAGGAGAGCTGTCACCTTATATCAGTGACCCAGCGCTGAAGTTATTCCAGTGTGCTGTTTGCAACAAATTCACCTCTGACAGCTTGGAGGCCCTAAGTGTGCATGTGAGCAGTGAACGTTCTCTCCCTGAAGAGGAGTGGAGGGCTGTCATTGGAGACATATACCAATGCAAGCTGTGTAACTACAACACACAGCTCAAAGCCAACTTCCAGCTCCACTGCAAGACTGACAAACACATGCAGAAATATCAACTGGTGGCACATATTAAGGAAGGAGGAAAAACGAATGAGTGGAGGCTGAAGTGCATTGCCATTGGCAACCCCGTTCACCTAAAATGTAATGCCTGTGACTACTACACCAACAGTGTGGATAAATTGCGCTTACACACCACCAATCACAGGCATGAGACAGCCTTGAAACTTTACAAGGTAAGCACCCACCAGTAATTTCAGCTGGCAGTTAATTTTCAAAATGACAGAAAAAGGAAATGTTGATTGATCTGCAAATTAAAGGTTTATTGAACATAAGAAAGTAACAAAAAATAGACTGCCACCTCAAAAATGGCACCTTAAACATGTTATTTAACTCTTTAATTGTCCATTTATTTATTTATTTAATCAATCAATCTTTACATTTTCATTATCAGCACAATCCTTTGCATGCATATTCAGAAGTAAATCCTATTGAGTTACCTGAGTTTTATTCCTAAATATGTGTGCATAGGATTTAGGTGAAATTGTTAAACTAAAAGTATCATGTACCTTATAATTACTTTTGTTAGCCAATTCTTAACTACAAAGGCTTTCACATATTTGAAGTGACAGTTGTTCACTACCGCATGTAAAAAAAATATACAGCTTCATGCTACTGATAAATCATAAATCATCTCAGCCAAAGCCTAAGACTTCAATATTTATTGAAAACATACACATCTGAACCATGTTTTTACTATGAGATTTACCAGCATGGTCTATTGTCTTTTTGCTTACTTCTTTTTCTAAGCCTTACCAAAACATGAAAAGATGTGATGTACAAATAAGTGTCAGCAGATAGGTAAATGTATTGATTTGAATCTTGGAAGAAAAATGCTTTGAATATGACAAGGTGATGAGTACCATTACAACCTAATATGCCATGATGCTTCCAAATTCTAATTGTTGGATAATGTTTTTAGTAGTGTTTTACTGGATTGCTTCATAGGGTTGTGCACATTCATTTCTGCATTCCAGATTTGTAATTGCTCTGGTGTTTTTTTTAATTTCTTTATCTGTAAGTTTTATTTAAAAGGTTTATACTGTTTAGGATACAGCATTGGCCATGAACAGAATCACTGTTGTGTGATGAGTAGCCATATACATTATCTGAATACAATGTAAAGTAAGTTTAACATACTGAAAGGTCTACTTTGGAAAGTATTACTGAGTAATACTAATACTGATATTTATTGACTAAAGCAGCTGTTGAAAAATAATGTATGCTTCTTCTCAAATCCAACTGTAAAATTGCATACATCTATAAAGTAAAAATAAAATAGGTAAATAGTTCTGTAGGTAACTTTTTTCCAACAAAGGCTAGTAAAAAAAAGTTAACTGTGTATAAATTATTGGAAGTTAGACAGATAGTTGAAAGCTGGTTTTTAAAGTCCAAAATAATAAGTATATATGTTGTATTTTGAATTAGATAAAGAATAAGTTGTTTTTCCCTTTTCCTCTCCTTTCTCTTTCCCCTCTGTGTAGGACAATTTTCTGAAAATATTTGGCCTTCAGCCTTTTCAGCCTTTTGCTTAGTAGCCCAATTCAGCCTTCTTATGCTTGACCTGCTCGAATTACATAATATGAAATTCATCTCCTTGGAGGTAGACTGTTAAAAGTATTACTCAGTGTTACGGTCTTCAGCTCCAAGTGGAATAGAGCTCTAGCTTTCTGCCGGTCTTCAAACACTTTAGGGAGGGTGATTTCATAAAAACTTTCTAGACATCTGGTAATCAAAAGACAGGTTTACAGACATATAGTTGTCATGAGTGCCTGACACCATTTTACTTTTCAATATGAGTTTAGAGATCTTCCTAAGTAATTGTATAATGTGGTGCTTATCAAGAAAGTAGATACCTCTGTATATGCTACTGTGAATTTTCTCCCATATCCATAATTCTTAGAAGTAATATTAATTTATATGTAATAAACTTACCAGGGTGAATCTTGCAGGATATTGAAGTAGTTGTCCTTACTCCTTTAAAACATGGTTTAGCAAAGATAAATGTTAGCAATAAAAACATGTAAGAAATTAAACAAAAGTATCACATTTTTTTTTTTTTTGGTCAAGGGCAATTGTTTTGTTGCAATTCCCAATTTAAGTATTTTACTTGAAGTACTGAGAGAATATGAAGACAGCTCTTAGAAAGTAAGCACTTAAATTACAGTGGAATCAGAATATTTGTATTAAAGCCATATAATTACAGTAATATCAAGCTGTCACTTGATTAGGTTCTATATCGCACATCTTGCTTTGTTTTAAAATGTGAGAGAGAATTGACTTTTGAAAGATTGCAATCAAAAGGCTTAAAGAGAAAGAAGAAATATTCTGTAAGCTAGATTTATAGAAATGTGTGATATTTGTCAAGAATCAATAATTAGCAATTAACAATATTTTTGCTAATTACAAGTAGGCGCTGTGCAAGAAAAAAATAGCACAGCTTATATAGTCTGTTTCTCTTTCTCCTTCTCTTTATACCACTTTTTTTTATATATAACTCAAGGTGGCGAACATACCTAATATTCGTGCCTCCTGTTTTCTTAACCTATTAAGATCAAATTAAATGAATTTTTCTGTAATATGGAGAGCAGGCCTATTCCATTTTTTTTTTCATGTATCTACTCTGCAGTATCTGTTGCACCCCCTTATGTTAAAGAGTTTTTTAACCAAATTTATCTGTAGGTTTTATTTAAAAGGTTTATACAGTTTAGGATACTGAATTGGCCATGTACAGAATCACTGTTATGAGATGGGAAGTGATATACATTATCTAAATAAAATGTAAAGCAATTTTAACACTCCCAGTGTTAAACACTGCTATAGAGTAGTAGAATACATCAAGGTGTGGTTGGGGGTCTGTTTTCCTTACCTCTCTTGTATGGTTAAATACAAATTAGACCTCTCATTGTGGCTGTGCACTAGAAGTATGAGATAAACAGGTTTGTATAATAAAAACAAAACGAGCACATGTATGACTGCTCCATCATGTTTAGTTTAGCTGTGACATTGTACTGGCATAGCTGAATAGCTAGGGTTGGTGATAGTAGGCTACTGTTTAGAAGCCCAAGCAAGAAAGTCTCCAGATTTCTGAAAATTTCATAATGCTGTAGTGATTCTAAAGAGGCCACTTTTTAGCCCTGAATCTTACAATGCAAATCTATTTTTCTTGTTAAGTAATTTTTTATAAAACCAAATATGCCCCCCTCCCTCCCAAAACTCCAGAATATACACAGAGCTAGTGGGATTTAAAACAACATATAACTGTGGCCACTTTTGAATTACGTTAGGTTGGTTGACCCAACGTTTTCTATTTTGTGTCTGCAAACCATGGAAGTCCTAAACCTTTCATATGTGGATGCTGCATTTTGGTTTTATATGGATTTAATACCCATACTAAGAGTTTATTCAAAAAATAGAAGACGTTTTTATTCAGAGCTCTGATAATTTTACAGTATTACCTATCAAAGCACTGAGATGGTATGGACAACATGTTTTCCTTTTGTGGCAGAGAAGTGTTCTGCTTTCTGTTTAATTCCTGGAGTAAACTCTGGAAGGGGATTTATACAATTTTTAAAACCAAAAATAAAATAAAGTCCATTAGAGACACAAGAGTGATACCAGTGTGATTTTTGAGGGAAGATTATTTTTGTTGCTTGAAAGGGTCTTGCCTTTCTCCTCTAAAATAAATAAATGCTAAATACAAAAAATCATACAGGCATAGATTAATAGTTACAATACCCTAGGAGTTGATCAATTAATTCTAGAGGTTCCAAATTACAGCCATAAAATCATGGCTGACTTCTAACCCACTTCTAATCTCTGAAATCAACAGAAGAGAATGCTATTTTTGTGATAGTTTTTCCAATTTCTTAACTAAATTCTTCAGTCTTTCTTCTCCTTTGGTTTATGTAAAAATTAGATTCCTTAATCCGTAGTTTCAGGGAAATAGGCCTGATAATGAAATGGACTGGCAGAGAAAAGGAATTCTGTTGTCTAGCTAGTACTTGGGGAGAAGCACTTATTTTTGTCAGTCTCAAAATATAGCAATGAGAAAATGCATTTTTCTTGAAGGAAAATAATTGGAATCTTCACAACTGTACTGCTATTAAATGGGTATTATGGAATGAGGTTATGCCTGTTTCACCAGATCTGACAGGGTAGGCACACTCCACTGGTCCCCTTTCTTAAACTTGTCGATCCATGGAGGCATGTCTTCTCTGTTGCAGCACCTTCCCTCCCCCCTGAGATTTGGATGGCCCCAACCCTCTTGACCTTCCAGAAGGCCGTTTTTTCCCCAAGTGTTAGGGCCAGGATGCTAGGGGAACCAATATATTTGTGCGTTTTATGGAACTGTTTTGTGGTATGTTTGTTATTTGTTTGGTTTTGGTACTATACTATACTACAGACAGTCCTCTACTTACAAACAGGTTATGTTCCAAGAGGCTGTTTGTAAGTCCGTTTTGTTTATAAGTCCAACCAAGTAAAAAGTAAAAAAAAAAAAAAAGGAGGCGGGAGGCAGGGCGGTGCCGTGGTCAGAGGAGCCCTATCTTCTGCTGCCAATGCATTGCCTGATGAGGCAGGAGAGGGGGTGGTAGTGGGGGAGAGGGGAGAGGGGGCAGAGGCAGGCTGCAAACTAACCCTTTCCTGCCTTCGAAGAGGCTGGAGGTTTGCATTGGGGTTGGAGTTCCCAGAAAGGGTTAGTTTACACAGTGTGCTCTGTTGCTGGCTGGGCGACGCAGGAAAGGCAGTGGTGGCTCCCTGGACTAAGGGACAAGCCAGTGGGGTGCGGTGCACTCTATTGCTGGGTGAGACAGGAACCTCTGCCCCCTCTCCTGCCTCACCTGGTGATGGAGTGTGTTGGGTAAACTAACTGTAGGTTCAGCCCAAGGAACTCCACAAGACAGTACAGATACAGTTCTGTTGCATTTATTAGCTTCCACCTCCAAGACAGAACCTCTCCAGACTGAATCTAAACTTCCCAAGCCAGCAAGCCAAAACACCGTGGATTCCTAAGGTGGTGCCAGTCTCATCTTCTTAACCTTTCCACGCTCCTGCTGGGGGGTAAGGAAATGCTTATCTCCCTGAGCGTGGCCTTCATCAAACCATTCCATCACACTAACCCTTTCTGGGAATTCCAACTCTAATACAAACCTCCAGTGCAAAACGGAAGGCAGGA